TTGGGACATGAGTGTTGGGCTTCAAATTTTCCTGTAACAACTGAAACTGATAATTCCTGTGTGGTGGTAGTCTGAGAGATTCTAGGCGTTGAATGACCGGACAAAAGATTTACACATCATGCACTGTTATCGAATATCGAAATGCACTGCAAGGGAAAGGGCTGTGCGCTGTTCGCTATTCTGTTTGGTAACATCTATTGATTCCAGTCTGAATGAGGCACAAGACAGCAGACGCGCAATATATACACACACGAACGATGGGCGTTTCATGTGCAAAATAACTATTTTGAATTTTATGATGAATTCGTCATCTACATGAGGCATGAATTAAAAAGCTAGGAAATACTGGACAGCTGTTTCGACTTGATTGGATTTCATCGGCAGTGCGAATCCATCGACCCAAATGGGGATCGAACCCGAGATCTCACAGGTAGAACGCAAGCATTCTACCCACTCGACCAACGGCTATCCAGCTCTAAATCATTTGATGCTATAGTCAATGGATTGCTGGTGTTTACATTGGATCACATCAAATATTTAACTACTATTCGATTTCAGAGAACGATTTTCAGACTTTATTCTCACGAACAACTCTCACTTCATCCGATCAAACATTGTGACGTGAGTACAGAAATCAGGTGGTAATCTGCAATAGATTATTCTGAAATGACATCAATCAGCGTTTGTTTATCAGTGGCATTTGATCCCACTTCTCGTTATCAATCACGCACAAGAAAGAAGGTCGGGGTTACCAAAAAATGACCATATATTATAGCAACCAACATATCGCAATATCCAGGTACGAGACGTGTTGACAACATCCCTGACCTGTTCGGTTTCAATCCCGCAAGACCATACGTCCATGAAGAACAAGATATCAATTTAACTTTTTAACATTGTTCATCAGTGATGCGTATAGTCCAGCTTTTTTGTACTTACCTTCGAAGACGAACACTGAGGAGCTTGATCTGTCAGTTCTGGGTAACCTGCGTGTGAGGTGCTGGGCCCAATGGTAACACACACTAGGGGCTCTGGGGTTCACACCTTGGTCGGGTATTTATATATCCCCTACAGATAATCTCTCCCAAGCGCAAGGATCAGGCCTAATGTCCGCGGAGTGTTCGAACGGAAGATGGTACACAAAGGGGGAACTTAATCTGAAGAATGGTCAAGCAAAATCAATCACAACGTACGCAAAACGACTAATCACAAGTGAGTGTGAGTCAGCTGTTTTTACCACTTGTTTTGCTGTTTGCAATGTCAAAGTAACAAAAAATATCAGAGGCTAAGTCGGTTTTATGCAGTCCAATTCAGCAAGTTACCGAAAATTTCAATATATTTCCCCCACTCTTGTTCACCTGCAACCTTATTACTTAAGCATCTTCTTGCTTTATCTAATACGAATAAATTCATCAGG